GGGGTGCTGAGCCTGCGGGTGCGGAGCCTGGAGGTGCTGAGCCAGAGGGTACCAGGTCCGGGGGTGCTGATTCTGTTGGCGGTTCTCCGGGTCTCCCTCATCTACTGCTGGAGCTGGAGGTTCTGCTTCTGGAGGTACTACTGCTCGAGGTGCTGCTGCTGGAGCTTCTAGAGCTCGTGGTCGTGGAGGCACTGGGAGTGCTGGTTCTGGACGTGCTCGTACCGGGAGTACTGGAGCTGCTGGGACTGGTGGTACTGCTGGTTCTGGAGGTGCTGCGACTGGAGGTACTGGGGTTGGAGGCCTTGGAGCTGGTGCTGTCGACTCTAGAGCTGGAGATCCTGGTACTGGCGGTGCCGGTTTTGGGGGTGCTGCTGTTGGAGAGCCTGGAGCTGGAGGTGCTAGTTCTGGGGGTGCTGCTGCTGGAGCCCCTGAGGCATGAGACACTGGAGCTAGAGGTTCTGGAGCTGCTGGAGGCACTGGAGCTGGAGGTTCTGGAGCTACTGGACACGCTGGAGCTGGAGGTTCTGGAGCTGCTGGAGGCGTTGGAGCTGGCGGTTCTGGAGCTGCTGGAGGCGTTGGTGCTGGAGGTTCTGGAGCTGCTGGAGGCGCTAGTGCTGGAGGTTCTGGAGCTGTTGGAGGCGCTGGTGCTGGAGGTTCTGGAGCTGCTGAAGGCGCTGGAGCTGGAGGTTCTGGAGCTGCTGGAGGCGCTGGTGCTGGAGGTTCTGGAGCTGCTGGAGGCGCTGGAGCTGGAGGTTCGGGAGCTGCTGGAGGCGCTGGAGCTGGAGGTACGTCACGCGTCTGCTTGCCACTGTTGTCACTGACCCTTCGTTTGAGTCCACTGCTACGTCTGCTTTAGTCGCTGAGCTTGTTGACTTTGCTGCTGCCTGTCGTCTAGACTACACTGCTAGTCTTGTGGCTGAGTCTGAGTCTGTCTGTCCTCCGTCCGTCGAGGGTGAGTGTGCTCTAGGCACGGACGTCCTTGAGACAGGCAGGAGGATTTTGAGTGTCTTGCGGCTGCTGTACCTCATCTCGTGGCCATGCTGTTTACCCCTGAGGGAGACCCGGATGCACCACACATCCTGACCCCGCGCTCTTACGCTGAGGCGATTACGGGTCCCTACTCCTCTCAGTGGCAGACCGCCATGGACGCAGAGATGGCTTCCTGGAAGTCCACAGGCACCTACGTCGACGAGGTTCCCCCTCCTGGGGCGAACATCGTCGATGGCATGTGGATTTTCAGAGTGAAGCGGCCACCAGGTACTCCGCCTGTCTTCAAGGCTCGTTACGTTGCACGAGGCTACAGTCAGCGACAGGGAGTTGACTTATTCCAGACCTTCTCCCCTACCCCGAAGATGACCACTCTTCGGGTGCTACTGCACGTTGCCGCTCAGCGTGACTACGAGCTTCACTCTCTTGACTTCAGCACAGCCTTCTTACAGGGCAGCCTGCACGAGGAGATCTGGCTGCGCCGCCCACCTGGCTTCATTGGGTCGTTTCCTCCTGGTACCCAGTGGAGCCTCCCCCGGCCAGTCTATGGTCTCCGCCAGGCGCCTCGTGAGTGGCACGACACATTGAGGACTACACTTGCGGCTCTTGGGTTTGCCCCTTCCACTGCTGACCCGTCGCTGTTTCTGCGCACCGACACTTCGCTGCCGCCGTTCTACATCCTCGTGTACGTCGACGACTTGGTCTTTGCTACTGTTGACACTGAGGCACTCGCCCTTGTGAAGTCGGAGCTGCAGAAGAGACACACGTGCACAGACCTGGGTGAGCTGCGCAGCTACCTTGGCTTGTAGACCACCCGGGACATAGCATGCCGCACTATCACACTGACTCAGTCACACATGGTGCAGCAGGTCCTTCAGCGCTTCGGCTTCACTTGGTCCTCGCCACAGTCCACTCCTATGGCTACCGGTCACTCGCTCTCAGCTCTGCCTTCGGATGAGTCTGTAGAGCCGAGTGGCCCGTATCCAGAGCTTGTGGGCTACCTCATGTACCTGATGACCTGCATTCGACCTGACCTTGCCTACCCTCCTAGCATCCTGGCTCGCTACGTTGCACCTGGGAGACACAGGCGAGAGCACATGGAGGCTGCTAAGAGGGTGTTGCGCTACTTGTGCAGTACGTCGGGCATGGGGCTCGTGCTTGGAGGACGGGGTGAGGTTGTCCTCACTGGACACTCAGACGCGTCTTGGGTTGACGACCTGGCTACGCAACGGTCGTCACAGGGTTTCACCTTCAGCCTTGGTTGCGGCTCTGTTTCTTGGCGGTCTACCCACTCGTCTTCTGTTCTCGGCTTGAGTTGTGAGGCTGAGATCTACGCCACAGCCATGGCTGCACAGGAGTTACGCTGGCTCACCTACTTGCTTACCGACTTGGGAGAGAGGCCTCGTTCTCCTCCAGTTTTGTATGTAGACAACAAGGCTGCCATTACCTTGTGTCAGGAGCACAGACTGGAGCACAGAACGAAGCACATCGCTCTGCGTTACTTCCTTGCTCGAAAGCTACAGCAGCGTGGTCAGCTTCGTGTTGCTTACGTGGCCACCCGGGCCAACACTGCTGATATATTCACCAAGGCGCTTCCGTCTGGTGATCATCAGCGCTTCTGTACTATGTTAGGCCTTGTGCCTCTTTTGTCTCACCTGCTCACTTCGTGACCTTGCTTGTACTGTGATCTATGTATATACCTGCTTGCTTGCTCTTGCTAGGTAGTGATCACTGTACTGTTGCTGTTCCATATATACCGCTGCTTTGCTGTTCTTGACTGGTCTTGTGACCCCTTGGTCCTCCCCCACTTTGCCTATGGGGGTGTGTCAAACATATCTATGTATGTTATAAATTTGGGTAGGCTGTAGTGGGGTAGACTATGTGGGGTACAACCCCTTAGAGTTCTTCCTTGTACCAAAATCACTCGACATTCTAGTCATTCCCCTACCTACTATTGTGACAGTTTTTATAAGAGTACAAGGAATATGAAGAGATACAGTTAATAACCGTTTTACTGTTGCTGTTGCGGTTCGATACAGTGACGACTCGGGCAATTGCTCAATAACGAGTCAGTTTGTCCTTGCTGTCGCGCTGTATTTGTCGAGTCAAAGGTCAGCGATCTTTGACCTTCGCGTAACCTCCGGCTGTTACATTTCTGTCAACCTCCTCAGTTGACTCACCAATGCTTCGTTGTAATTCGTTTCGCTTGTGGTTCAGTGTTTCGACACATCAGAAGCGTTTAAGTTACTTATTTCCAACACAATGAAGTACCCTATTTTCTAAGCTATGGAGCCTCCTAGATATCGAGTCTATTATGGTCAGTCCCACTTTCAAGTTTGCTGAAGTATGAACAGTAGTCTGCTTGGTTGGCTTTACGGCCGAAAGGGTTGATTACTTTTGTCTGTGTTGATCTCAACCAATCAGAATTTCCCATCCAAACACTGTTTCCGGTAGTCGCGAGGGTTTGAAGGCCCAAACCGGGTTACCCTGTTTTTGGCTTTTTCAGCTTCAAGAATCTTGAACTTGAACCGTTGCCATTCTAGACTCGGGCTATAAAAGAATTCCAGGCTTTGTAAATTCTTACACTGGAATTTATTGTTAGGCCCTTGGGTCTTATATAGGGAAGGTTACGGTTGCATCGTTTGTAGCTAATCGCGTCAGCTTGAAGATTCGTACATGCTTGAAGCTGTATTGAATTTCAAATCGTGAAAACTTGAGTGCTGACGAACCGAGATTCTGGCCCTCGCCTGCATGCTATCGTAGGGCTGTTCTGGATTTCCAACAAGTCCCACTGCCCAAGGCGTCTTGCTGCTTGCAGCGTCTGATTCAGTTTGCTGTCCCAGTCGCTTCACACATTTGAAGAAGCTCGAAATCCAGCTGCCGAAACGGTGTCCATGCGAGCCACATGCCGATTGCAGCCCAAGCCCAGTCCGCTTGTAACTAGCTATCCCTTCCAAAGCGCGTACCGTTTCCTCACGGCGTGCGCAGCAGCGCGCGCCTCGGTGAGTTGCGACGGATAGAACGCCAACGTGCAGCGCTGCGGTGAGGCTGACAGCGAAGGGCCGTCGTGGAATTGAACGGCCCTTGTTAAACGTTTCGAACGGCGTGCTGTGCGTGCAGCTTTGAGTTGGAGCCGTGGACGCCGCGTGTGAGAGCATGGCGAGCGGCGGCAAGCTGTCGTCGTCGGACGCGGCGTACCAGCTGCTGCTGAAATGCGCCAAACACGGTGCGCGCCGCTGCCGTTGCTACTCGCGTCTCAGAAGTCTTCATGGCAATATCTCGTGCGTTCACTGCGTTCCCTGGTGTCTCTAGTAGAAACGATTCGAAATCGAATGTCTGAGTCGCTTCATCTAGTAACGCGGCGCGCCGGCGGACGCCTCTGTTGTTCAATGCGAGGGAACGCATTTGCGACGAACCTAATCTGTGCGAGTTTGTCACCCCTCGTATCCCCGCTATAAGCAGGACGAGGCAGGGCTGTGGCGCTCGCGGGCTTGGCGGCGCAGAGGGAGCGGCAGCAGGCGCAGGAGCAAATGGAGGAGCGGAAGCGACGGCAGGAGAAGGAACGGAAGGAGCGGGAGAGAGACGAGCGGAAGGCTAGAGAAGGAGGGTCAGCGCTTCCCAGCAGCTTGTCGAACGGGCAGTTCAAGGCGGACGCGGATTTACGGCTGAAGCGGCCGATATCGCGCCAGTTGTTCTGCGACGGCCTTCAAGATGGCGATGGTGAGTCGCGCACCATTCGCGACTGTTGTAACCTTCCCGCCCGCATGCTTCTCTCGCTATCAAGCTCCCGATTTCGTTTCTTTGTGCTTTTCCCTCCAGTTGATGTTTCCACGCATCCATGGGTCACACTGCAGCACTCGAGTGGCACGCGCATCATCATCGCCACGCCGCTCCACCGATCGTGCATTCGCCGTCACTGCTCACGCAGGCACACTATGTGAATGTGCTCCGTGACTGCTTGAGCAAAGGCCCCTTTACCCCCCTTCCACCTTTTCATCTTGCTCCACCTTTCCATGTCGGTGTCTATGTGCGGCGGAGTGGCAGGTGTGTGGCGGCCCGGACCTAAAGGCTCGTGCAGGCCGCAACCGCAGCAGGCGAAGCGTCGGCTGCAGATGGATGCTGACGTGGACAGCAGGAGTGACGAGAGGCCGGCGAAGGTGCAGCGAAGCTACGTGCTGCAGCAGGTGGGGCAGCAACGCGGGCAGGCAGGGCGGACGCGAGGCGAGGAAGCGGCGGGTGGGCAGACTGGGGCACGCGAGCAGGCAGTGGAAACGGGCCCAGGGAGCAAGCAGGCGGGTGTGGGGCATGGTGGGGCGTGGGCGTGTGAGCATGATGCAGGGAAGTCGCACGGCAGAGGGGTGGGGGGAAACGAGTGCGTGGCGGAAGTAGGGGAAGGTGGTGCTGCAAGCCGCTGTGGTGGCGGGGGGGATGCGGCACGGCACGGCCAGGATGGGCGCCACTATTGCATAACACCACGATCAAGGATAGGATGCGCCGCTCCTCTCCCCACTCCACTTCTTCTCTCGCTTCTCCCTCTCCTCCTCGCCTTCGTTAATTGTGCACGTTCTGCGCTTCTCTTCACTCTGCCCTCCACCTTCCTCTTCCTCCCTTCCACCCGCAACAAATGTTTCTCTCTCTTCCACTCCTGGTCACTCTCCCCCACCCCCACGTTTTCTCGCTCGTGTGTCCCCGGGCCACGCGTGCAGCGCATGCCCCGTTGCTATCCACATTTCCCGTGACCTTCTTTCTTCCCTCTATCCACCCCCCCCTCCTCCCCTTTTCCTTTTCCCAACTATTAGCCCTCTTTTTCCTCCGCCCCACCACCAGTCTCCTCAACAGCAGAATCGATGCAATCAACATGTGTTACGTCAACGCCACACTGCAAGCCCTCGCCTCCCTTCCGCCCTTCCTCTCCCACCTCCTCCACCTGCCCCTCCCCGCCTCTCTCGCCCGCTCCTCCTCCCTCCGCCTCCCAGTCACCACTGAGCTTCAGCGGCTGACGTGGCAGCTGCTGGGCCTGCCACATGGCAACAGCAGTGGCGCCACTGTGGGGAGCATCAGTAGCCGATTGAGGGGGACAGCGGGTGGCGTGGCGGATGCGAGGGCTGTAAAGAGGGCAGTGGGGCGCAACGCTCCCATCTTTCAGGGTCAGGAACAGCAGGTGAGAGCAGCAGGTGGGAGCAGCAGGTGAGAGCTGTTAGAATCTAGAATAGAACGAGAATGCATGAAACTAGGTAGGAGGGGGATACAAGTAGGAAACCCTAACAAAGCTGTACCCCCTAAGGCTAAACCCACTATAGCCTACACAATATAAACATATAATGTTTGACACACCCCCATAGGCTAAGTGGGAGACAACCAGATGGTCACAAGACCAGTCAAAGCAAAGCAAAACAAGCTCGGGGTGGATCTCAAGGAAACCACACAAATTCTGAGCACAAGCAAGTGGTCACAAGACCAGTTCACATGCAGGTTGATAGTATAACAAGAGATACAGTGATCACAACCTAGAAAGAGTAAACAAGCAGGTATATATACAAAGATCACAGTACAAGCAGAGTCAAGAAGTAAGCAAGTGAGGCCCAGTAGGCACGAGGCCTAGAACAGTACAGAAGCGCTGATGGTCACAAGGCTGAAGCGCCTTGGTGAACACATCAGCAGTGTTGGCCCGAGTGGCCACGTAACGCAGACGAAGCTGACCGCGCTGCTGCAGCTCTCGAGCAAGGAAGTAGCGCAGAGCGATATGCTTCGTTCTGTGCTCCAGTCTGTGCTCCTCACACAAGGCAATGGCAGCCTTGTTGTCGACGTACAGCACTGGAGGAGAACGAGGCCGCTCTCCCAAGTCGGTCAGCAGGTAGGTGAGCCAGCGTAACTCCTGTGCAGCCATGGCTGTGGCGTAGATCTCAGCCTCACAACTGGAGCTGAGAACAGAAGACGAGCGTGTAGAACGCCAAGAAACTGAACCAGAGCCAAGGCTGAAGGTGTAACCCTGAGACGACCGCTGAGTAGCCTGGTCGTCAGCCCAAGACGCGTCTGAGTGCCCAGTGAGTACAACTCGGTCTCGTCCTCCAAGCACTAGCCCCATGCCCGACGTACTGCACAAGTAGCGCAACACCCTCTTAGCGGCATCCATGTGCTCCTTCCGGTGACGGCCAGGAGCGACATAGCGTGCAAGGATGCTAAGAGGGTACGCAAGATCAGGTCGAGTGCAGGTCATCAGGTACATGAGGCAGCCCACAAGCTCTGGATACGGGCCACTCGGCTCTACGGACTCATCCGAAGGCAGAGCTGAGAGCGAATGACCGGTAGGCAGAGGAGTGGGCTAAGGCGAGGAGTACGTGAAGCGGAAGCGCTGAAGGACCTGCTGCACCATGTGTGACTGAGACAAGGTGATGGTGCGCCGTGCTCTGTCCCGGGTGATCCGCAAGCCAAGATAGCTTGTCAGTTCACCCAGGTCTGTGCACGTGTGTCTCTTCTGCGGCTCCGACTTCACGTGGGCGAGTGCCGCAGTGTCAGCAGTGGCAAAGACCAAGTCGTCGACGTACACGAGGATGTAGAACGGCGGCAGCGAGGTGTCGGTGCGTAGAAACAGCGACGGGTCAGCAGTAGAAGGAGCGAACCCAAGAGCCGCAAGTGTAGTCCTCAGTGTGTCGTGCCACTCACGTGGCGCCTGTCGGAGACCGTAGACTGGCCGCCGGAGGCTCCACTGGGTACCAGGAGGGAACGACCCAGTGAAGCCAGGTGGGCGGCGCAGCCAGATCTCCTCGTGCAGGCTGCCCTGTAGGAAATCAGTGCTGAAGTCAAGAGAGTGGAGCTCGTAGTCACGCTGAGCGGCGACGTGCAGCAGAACCCGAAGAGTGGTCATCTTCGGGGTCGGGGAGAAGGTCTGGAAGAAGTCAACTCCCTCTCGCTGACTGAAGCCTCGTGCAACGTAACGCGCCTTGAAGACAGGCGGAGAACCCGGCGGCCGCTTCACCCTGAAAATCCACATGCCACTGACGATGTTCGCCCCAGGTGGGGGAACCTCGTCGACGTAGGTGCCTGTGGACTTCCAGGAAGCCATCTCTGCGTCCATGGCTGTCTGCCACTGAGAGGAGTAGGGACCCTCTATCGCCTCTGCGTAAGAGCGCGGAGTCGGGATGTCTGGTGCATCCGGGTCTCCCTCAGGGGCAACTAGCATGGACACGAGATGAGGTAAAGCAGCGGCAAAGCACTCAAACTCCTCCTGCCTGTCCTCAAGGACGTCCGTGCCAAGAGCACACTCACCCCCGACGGACGGAGGACAGACAGACTCAGACTTAGCAACTAGGCTAGCGGCGTAGTCTAGACGACAAGTGGCAGCAAAGTCGACAAGCTCGGCAACTAAGGCAGACGCAGCAGTGGACTCAAAGGAAGGGTCAGTGACAACAGTAGCCAGGAGACGCGTGACAGTAGGACTGGCAGCACGAAGGGAGTCAGTCTCAGGGTCAGCAAGAGCAGGAAGAGAGGACGCAGGAGGAGACGGGAGAGGGACACGCTGGGGAGCAGTGGAAGGACGAAGCGCCATCTGGTGAGTGCCTGGGACAGCAGGAAGACGCTGACGCGGGACACGACGACCAGTGTGAGCAGCACGAACAGGCGACGCTCGACGAGACTCAGGCGACGCAGGACGAGACTCAGGCTCACGACGCTCCGTAAGACCTCCAGTCGGACCAGTGTAAGGAGAAGGACCAGGGAGAGGGGAGTCAGACGGTAACTGTGACTGCGACTGGACAGACGGAGGACACTCTAAGGAGGGAGGAGGACAAGGAGGAGGAGGCTGACCAAGAACCTGCTGAAGGAGCGGAACGAAGTACGGCCGCGGCCGCGCAGCGTCCCCAGAACCAGCAGAGACACCAGCGCCAGGGTCCTCAGCACCAGCAGCAACTCCACCTCCAGGGTCCTCAGCACCAGCAGCAGCTCCAACTCCAGGGTCCGCAGCACCAGCAGCAGCTCCGACTCCAGGGTCCGCAGCACCAGCAGCAACTCCAACGCCCGGAGCCGCAGCACCAGCCGCACCTCCAGAAGAAGCAGCACCTCCAGCAGCTCCAGCAGCCCCAGCACCAGCAGCACCTCCAGCAGCTCCAGTAGCACCAGCAGTACCACCAGCACCAGCAGCACCTCCAGTAGCGTCAGCAGCAACAGCAGCTCCAGCACCAGCAGTACCTCCAGCAGCGCCAGAAGCACCGCCAGCAGCAGAACCTCCAGCAGCTGGGTCCGCGACACTAGGAGCGCCACTCCGAAGACGGCAGCGCCGTGCGTACCACTCTCGGAGCCGCTGGGGAGAGGGCAGCTCCCGCCTAGGAGGGGAAGCACTAGCACCAGCTCCAGCAGTACTCCTGGCTCCAGAAGCACCTCTCCTGAGGCTGCAGTACTGTAAGTACCACTCACGCAGCTGCTGTGAGGAGAGAGCTCCTCCAGGTGTAGCACTCCCAGGCTCAGCACCTCCAGACTCAGCACCCCCAGACTCAGCACCCGCAGGCTCAGCACCCCCAGGCTCCGCACCCCCAGGCTCAGCACCCCCAGACTCCGCAACCCCAGGCTCCGCACCCCCAGACTCCGCAACCCCAGGCTCCGCACCCCCAGGCTCCGCACCCCCAGGCTCCGCACGCTCAGGCTCAGCACCCTCAGGCTCAGCACCCCTAGCAGGACGAGAGTCGACAGCTACCTCGACAGGCTCAACCGGGTCTACCTGGGACACACCTGAGGGAGCGGCACCCTGAGGGGGGAGGGGGTCTACCACAGCAGCACCTGGCGCGAGGAAGAGAGGCGGGGGGGGAAGCGGGGCAGTGCGGTAGGGGAAGAGGCGGTAGTAGGGGACGGACTCGTCGAAAGTGACGTCCTGAGAAGGCAGGACACGGCGCGAGGTGGGGTGGTAAAACTGCCAACCAGACGCGTCCGGGACAAAGCCAAGGAAGACACAAGGAACAGCGCGGGAGGAGAGCTTGTCCGCGGACGTATCGCGAACAAAGGCTCGAGATCCCCTGACCCGAAAGCGTGACGCATCGCCAACCTCTCCTGTCCAACGCAGTGTCGGCGAAGTCTCCGGAACGGAGACACGGGGCCAGAGGTTGAGCTGATGCGCAGCGTATCGGACTGCAAACGGCCACAGAAAGTGGGGGGCAGCCGCATGGATCAAGGAGGTACGAGCGACCTCCATGACCAAGCCAATGCGGCGCTCAGCAACCCCATTCTGCTGTGGAGAGGCCGGAAGCGTGAACGACTGGCGGATGCCGTGCTCCGCACAGTAGGCTGCCAAGAGGTCGGAGGAGAACTCACCACCTCTGTCAGAGTGCAAGCGCAGGACAGGAAAGTCCGAGTGGAAACGCTCGCTGAGCTGGAGACGAGAAGCGCTGATCCAAGGGATCAAAACATCAGGGACCTCACCCTTGGTGCGCAAGGGGAAGACCGTGGTGTAGCGCGAGTAGTCGTCAACAACTATCAGGAAGTACCTCTCCTGACCCTGACCACGGACGCGGGCTGGGCCCCACACGTCCATGTGGAGCGTCTGCAAGGGAGCAGTCGTCGGGGGAAACGAGGAGGAGTGAGGAGCGGCGCGCTGCCGCCCCTCGACACAGGGAAGACAGGGAGGAGCAGGCGAGGGTGGGAGGGGAGGGAGAACCCTGGGAAGACCAGAGACAAGGTACCGTTTGTGCATGGCACGAAGGCGCTGCACGGACGGGTGACCAAGTCGGTGGTGCCAGAGGACGGTCTCGTGCGCCAGAGAGCGACATGAGCAGGGGGCCGACAGCTGACCTGACGCAGACGCAGACGCAGCTACCTGAGGGGACTCAGTGGTCAGTGTGTACAGGTCCGACCCCGGCTGCCGAGTGAAGGTAGCCAGGTGACGGCCCGTCCGAGCACACGTGCAGTGTGTCACGCGCTCGTAGGCAGGGGTGAACTGGTGAACACCCCCGTCCTGGAGCGCACAACCCGCCACCAAGTTCGTAGAGAACGAGGGGAGGTGGAGACCTGACAGTGTGCCCGACGGGACCGCAGGACAAGGAAGGACAGTGGAGGAGGTCGCAATGACCGGACCCCCAGAGGGGTCAGCGAGGGAGACAGCAACTGGCCGAGCAAGCGGCTCAAGGGCAGTGCGGTCACGAAAGAAACAGCGAGAAGCACCTGAGTCCAGAGTGAAGGTGTGCAGTGCCTCAGTCGACTCAGTACCAGGGGGCGCAGACTCACGAGCACCTAGAGCAGCAGCCTCACCAGCACCTGGGGTAGCAGACACGCGAGTATCGGGAGTGGTAGCCTCACCAGCACCTAGGGCAACAGACGCACTAGCACCTAGAGCGGCAGCCTCACTCACAGGACACGGCAGCTGCACCTGTCCACTACCAGAAGCTCCCGAACGACGCACTCCAGAGCGACTGCCACTACGGCCACCCCGACAGCCCCAACTGGCGTACCACTCACGAAGCTGCTGGGGCGAGAGAGGACACGGCAGCTGCACCTGTCCACTACCAGAAGCTCCCAACCGACCCACTCCAGAGCGACTACCACTACGGCCACCCCGACAGCCCCAACTAGCGTACCACGCACGAAGCTGCTGGGGCGAAAGAGGACACGGCAGCTGCACCTGTCCACTACCAGAAGCTCCCGACCGACCCACTCCAGAGCGACTACCACTACGGCCACCCCGACAGCCCCAACTAGCGTACCACTCACGAAGCTGCTGGGGCGTGAGGGACTCACGCGCACGGCCCTGGAGCTGCATCTGGCCACGCCAGGAGCAGCAGTAGCAGCAGTAGCGGCAGTAACAGCAGTAACAGCAGGAGCGGTAGCAGTGGGAGTAGAAAAGGCAGTAGCAGCAGTAGCAGCGGTAACAGTGCTGGCAGGGCAATGCTCACCAGTGGTCGGCGCGGCAGGCGCAAGACGGTGGCGACAGCGGGGCCGCTACAACTGCAGGGCGGGGCCGGGCCGCAGCAGGGAGCTCCGCGGCAGCTGCTGCAGGGCGAGGCCGGGCCGCGACGGCAGCTGCTCCAGGTGCCAGGGGCGGCTGCTGCAGTGGCGGCTGCTCCAGGGGCCAGGGGCGGCTGCTGCAGCGGTGGTTGCTCCAGGGGCCAGGGGCGGCTGCTGCAGGGGCGGCTGCTCCAGGGGCGAGGGGCGGCTCCTGCAGTGGCGGCTGCTCCAGTGGCCAGGGGCGGCTGCTGCAGGGGCGGCTGCTCCAGAGGCCAGGCGCGGATTAGGTCAGGGCGACGCGGCGAGCAGGGCGACGCGGCGGGCAGGTGGCGACGCCGCGGGCAGGGCGACGCGGCGGGCAGGTGACGACGCCGCGAGCAGGGCGACGCCGCGAGCAGGTGGCGACGCCGCGGGCAGGGCGACGCAGCGGGCAGGTGACGACGCGGCGAGCAGGGCGACGCGGCGGGCAGGTGACGACGCCGCGGGCTGGGCGACGCGGCGAGAAGGTGACGACGCCGCGGGCAGGCGACGACGTCGCGGGCAGGCGACGACGCCGCGGGTAGGCGACGACGTCGCGGGCAGGGGCTACGTCGGGGGCAGGCGACGACGCCGCAGGCAGGCGACGACGCCGCGGGCAGGCGACGACGCCGAGGGCAGGGGCTACGTCGCGGGCAGGTGACGACGCCGCGGGCAGGCGGCGACGCCGCGGGCAGGGCGACGCGGCGGGCGGCGAGAGCCTGCAGGGGCGGCGCGCGGTCGGGCAGAGGCTGCGCGCGGGCCTGACGAGTCTGCAGGGGCGGCTCTCGGGCCTGACGGGCCTGCAGAGGCGGCTCGGGGGGGGCCTGACGGGTCTGCAGAGGCGGCTCGGGGGCCTGACGGACCTGCAGGGGCGGCTCGAGGGCGCACGAGGGCGCTCGAGGGCGCACGAGGGCGCACGAGGGCGCACGAGGGCGCACGAGGGCGCACGAAGGCGCACGAGGGCGCACGAGGGCGCACGAAGGCGCACGAAGGCGCACTAGTAGAGAAAGGCGCACGAGGGCGCACGAGGGCGCACGAGGGCGTACGAGGGCGCACGAAGGCGCACTAGCAGAGAAAGGCGCACGAGGGCGCACGTAAGGTAGGGCGCACGAGGGCGCTTCTAGCGGAATAGTGGGCCCATAGTAGAAAGCGGTCCTAGGTAGCAACCTAGGCTCGTGATACCATGTTAGAATCTAGAATAGAACGAGAATGCATGAAACTAGGTAGGAGGGGGATACAAGTAGGAAACCCTAACAAAGCTGTACCCCCTAAGGCTAAACCCACTATAGCCTACACAATATAAACATATAATGTTTGACAAGAGCAGCATCTCTTTCCTCCTCTCTCATTCACCCATCCCGTCCCTTTCCCCCTCAGACCCCCCATCTCGCCCTTCCTTAAACCCCTATCTCACCCCCCTCCCCCCTTCACACCCCCCCATCCCATCCGTGCCCATCAGGACGCACACGAGTTCCTGTGCGCGCTGCTGCACTGCCTTGCCTCCGAAGCCGCCACCATCGCCGCTGCCGCCGCCTCTCCCGCCCACGCCCGCACGCCCACCCTCGCCCATGCTCCCGCTCACACCCACATGCCAACCCCCGTTGAAGGCTGGACGGGGGGAGGAAAGGAAGGAGGACTGGGGAATGAGGGAGAGGGCGGAGGAGAGAGGGAAGAGAAGGATGGAGGCGGGGACGAGAGGGTGGAGAAGGCGAGCACTGGGGACGGCAATGGGTGTGCTGTTGGCAGCAATTTCCTGTCAACGGTGAGGGTGGTGAGGGAGTGTGAGGAGTGTGGAGGGAGAGAGAGTGGAGAAGAGGAGTTCCTCTGTCTCTCACTCCCCATCCCCTCCTCCTACCCCTCCTACCCTGCCTGCCCTGCTCCTAACTCTACCACTGCTGCATCTGCAGTTGCTGCTGCTCCTGCTCGCTCTATTGCTACAGCTCGTAGCAGTGGGGGTAGCAGAGGCAGTGATACCGATCCCAGTGCTGCTGGCGCCTCGCTCACTCACCATCCTCTCTCAGCACTGCTGCAACACTTCTTCCAGGTACAACCTGCGTCTTATCGTGTGCCATTGATTCTTATCCATGTCTTTCTCAGTGGCACCAGCTAAATCCCGTTTCGTGTTCTTGATTTCTTGCTGGTTCTGTTTGTTCCCTTATGGCTCCAGGACGAGACAGTACAAGGCAGGGTATGCACGTACTGTCACCGCTCTGCACCGTGCCGCATCTCCCGAGCCTTTTTGCGCCTGCCACACATCCTCATACTCCATCTCAACCGATTCCAAACCACCTTCCACCCCACTCCATGCCTTGAGAAACCCACTTTGTGCCACGAGGAGCCCACTGCCTCCCGTGGCAACCCCCAAGGCAGCACCACCATCCCACCGCCTCCATCGTGCCAGCCACTTGCCGCTCCGTCCCCTTCGATTGCTCAACACACACGCCCCCTCGCATCCCGCCCTCCTCGTAACCCTTCCCCTCCATTCCCTCAAGAGAACCCATTTTCCGTGCCAAGAGCGACAGCTCCGCCCTCTGCTCCGTCTGGGATGGCGCCTCATGCTACAACCGACCCTGCCTCCTCTCGCTCCCCCTCCTCTCCTCTTGTGCCGGCTGCTGGTGCTCCGTCGGTCAACCCCTTCTCCCTGGCGAAGGCTGCAGGCAGGCCGGTGGTGTTGAAGGAGGTGGCACCTAAGGGGGTGGTGTGTGGGCTCAAGGGTGGCGGCAGGCTGATCACACGTGTGAGTATGGTGGGTGGAGATGCAGAGGGAATGGACACTGGGGAGAGCGTGGAGGGGCAGCTGGCTGACAGAAGAAACATGAAGCTTGAGGGGAGGGAGGCAGAGCACATTGCGGGGCAATGGGAGGAGGGCGAGGCTAGGGAGTGTGGGGAGGTGGAGGAGGATTGGGCAGAGCTGCTGGAAGGGGCAGCTGGTGTGCTTGGGGAGGATGCAGGTGATGCAGGCGATGACAGTCCTGTGAGCGTCATGGTGGATGGTGGCAAGGAGAGCAGCAGCGGTGTGGGTGGTGGTGGTGGCATGGAGGAAACGGAGGCCAGCAGGGGGCGGTATGAGTGCAGGAAGAATGTGGACCGGGTCGAGATTGCCACGACACTTGACGTGGGTGAGTGGTGCCACATGGGCATCACTATGCCGCGATATTGTTCTATCTCCGGCCATTGTCTCCGTTTGCACCCTCTTGTGCTGCCATAATGCGCATTGACTCTCTCTGTTTCTACTTCCCTGTTGTGCTGCTAACTTCGCCGTTCACCACATCAGGTCCCTTTTGCGCACCAGCAATGCACGAGACTATCTCTCAAGGAGAAAAGGTGAGCCGATCATATTGCTCAGGCTCGGAGAGGAAGTGCGTTAGCAGGAAAAAAATCGTTTTGGCTGTATAATTAGAGAGGGATGTTATGACTGTTTGAAAATATATTCTTCCTGCATTTTCTTTACTCCTCTACTCCTTTAACCCCACTTCTTCTGCCATGGACGTGGGCACGCCGGCATGGCGGGCAGCATGCCACTGTCCCACTTCCCCTTCCAAATTTCACTCCATGTGACGTTGCTTCCACCTCCCTCCATTCCGCTGAACCACAGCGACGTGATAGCTCCGTATTCGCTCTGCGGGCCGTGGTGCGACACACGGGGACCTCTGTGGCGCACGGTCACTACATAGCTGACGTGGCGGATGACAGCCTGTCACCGCCTGGTTGGACGCAGCTCGATGATGGCGTTGTGATCAGAAACGTGAGTTCTTCGGACAACGTTGACAGCGATCTTGTGTGGACGCACGTTGCTGCAATAGCAATTATTCTCCCCCTCGCACCAGGCTATTCTTGCCTACCCCAAAACCCAGCATGCGTGCTCACGCTCGTGCCTCTCCTTGCGCAAAACTTCTCTTTCTTCGAATCCAACCTGCAGGTACCAGAGGCTGATGTTACTGCCTCTCAATCCCAGAAAGAAGCCTATATGCTCTTCTATGTACAAATGGATTCATGACCAGATGCAGAATTGTGTATTTCATCATATAAATTAAGTTACACGCTATACGATGAGCCCATGTACAATATACCATTGCCTACGTGAGTCCAAGCTTTCTCATATCAAACTATCCTGTAAGTTGGACTAGAATGTGATAGATGAATGACTCTTGCAAGTGTTGGTCTTCCAAAAACCTAACTAATGACAACAAGAGCCAATTGGTAGAGTGTGGTGGTTTCACTTGACAATATTGACATGATGGTTCATAGACCAGCATGGTACGGTAATCTCTTGCTGAAACGGTTCGTGCATTCCAAACGAAACCAGCTTCTGAACTGTATAGCGAGATTTGAGGCTCCAAGAGTTCTTCGGTCAGTCAGTAATTCCTGGGAGTTGAACCGCACATGTACACTCCATAGGACGGAGTCCATACCGCCACACCGCGGCTGGAAATCACGATTTAGGTTTGCAGATCGTTCTCTTTGTTAGAGAGATTCGCCAAGGAAAAACGAACAAATAAAACCCTTTGCAATTAGAAACAAACACTTGAATACTCTCCGATTTTTGAATCCGTAGGGTATACCGCAGTCGAATCAACTAGTCATCCCGCTTTCCTGATCCACGCCACATCACCAGAGCAACAAAGGAAATGGCGGAGAGAATGACTCCAGTGGCCAAGAAGGTGATTCACCATCCCTCGCGTGGCCACGAATTACTCGAGTGGCCACCAAATTTGGTGATAATGACTCGAGTGGCCACGCCAGAGGATTCTTGCTGGCTTTTTTTTCTTCGGCCCATTACCCTACGGGGCTTTGTAGCCCCGAAATTCCCCATTCGTGCGAGGGTTATCCCGCATAAGTGTACATAACTATTGACCACCCGAAATTGTCGCCAGGGTGGCGGGCTCGAACGTGGCCCGCCCACTGTACAAGAAACCGACAAATATTCCGAACAATAGTGTTTGCGCGACCAATTTCGAGCTAATGCGCGACCAAATTCCAAACCAATCAGCGATCGAGCATATTGCACCGCGATCATATACTTCTATTGACCCGAAACGATCCGTCACAGCAATAACGACCGCGCATGATTGGTCAAGATTTATGCGCGGTGCTATGGTGGCCATTGCGCGTCCAATCAAGCGCAATCATTAAGGTTTGGCGATCATATTTGAACGCGTTCATTTATACACAATTTCCTATATGATCCCGCCAATCATATACTAAAAACACTCGCACAAGAGTTAAACTCTGGCCAATTAGGTTCGTATTAAGGTGCTCAATCTGGTTTGGTACGCCCTTTCCATCTTCCCGCGCTTTACCATTTGACCCATATGCTAGAGATCGCTCACACCATTTTTTCTCGTCGTTTTAGGGTTGACATCTACCTTAGCCTTTGATTAGACCAGTTAGGTCCTTATAGTAGGTTCATCTAGGAGGGCCTACGGTTAGAACGTTCCTATTTGCCGCAATGAGTTCGACGTCATATAGTTCTAACACAGAGTCCGACTCAGGCGATGACGACACAGAGTTTTGCTTCGTTGGAACTGGAGAGCCGAAGCAAAGCGATATGTACCGTGCGTTGCTCCGGGAAATGGTCGCCGACAAGGCTCCCTCGCCACAAATCGTCATAGATGATCGAGCACCGTTGTGTGAAGGTCAACTTTACTCGTCTAAGCAATTTTTGTACGAAGCACTGGAGGACTATTCCGTAGCTTGCAACTTCGGATTTAGGGTTACGAGGAGTAGGCGAAACAGAGCCAAAGCCATTTGCATGAGTCAACATGAGCGTCGTAAACCCCCGTGCCGGTGGCAGTGTGAGTACTCTACTGACGGAGTGGGTGGGTTTTGGCGTGTCGATAAACTGTCCGCCCCATCATCCCACTGCTGCTCACTCGTTGATCGGGACCGCTACGTGATACACACGACAAATAAAGTGTCCTATCTGCAGCGTCATCACGGCAATCTTGTCCAAGCTGCACCACATCACCCTCCCGGGACGTACAAGGAACAGATTGCGTCTACCGGTGGTCCTGATATTAATTATAAACAATCTTGGCGGTAAGTTTTCCAGCATTCATTCCACATGACTGCTATTGTCACATGCAAGTTCTTAATCACCCCATCCACCTCATGTTTGTGCCACCTTCTTTTGTTATCTTGCACACCATCGTCCGTTTTTGGAGGCTCAAGGAAAAGATGCTGAAGGAACGTTTTGGAGATTGGAAAACGTCTTTTCGCTATATTCCGCGGGTGTTGGAACGCTTCAAAGAGATTGACGCTGATTCAACGCTCGACCTGGTAACAAGGGATCACGCTTTCTTCCGGGCTTTTGTCGCCCCATCGGCGTCAAGAACTGCTCTAAGGTTCTGTCGTCCAGTCATAGGTTTGGATGGTACATTTCTTATTCGTGCGCAACGGGCCACGCTCTTGGTAGCAGCTGCTAAGGATGGAAATAGCCAGCTTGTTCCACTCGCTTACGGCCTGTGCGAGAGTGAAAACAAAGATAGTTGGAAGTGGTTTTGTGAGAATTTGTTGAAGCATTTTCCATCGTGGCCGGCCACCCAGGATGCCTCCCTCATTAGCGATCGTGACAAGGGCTTAATTCCGGCGGTTAAAGAAGTTTTCCCATCCCAGTTCCCCCACTACTTTTGCAGCTGGCACTTGGAGCAGAATGTGCTCAAGTTTGGCCCTAACGCCTCCGAACTCTTCAAGAAACTCGCCAACTGCCGCACTAAGCGGAAGTTTGGCAAACTCGTGAGGAGATGTCGGGCCGAATGTGCTGCAATGGCTAACTATCTCTTTGGGGTCGAGGAGGCCAGTGCGCAGCAGAGCCGTGGCGGACGCGGGGCCAACCAGCGTGCACGGGAGCCAGATGTGGGGGATGGGTTGACAAGCCGCACGGGTGCTTCTAGAAGCGCGAGAATGGCAAGGATGGAAGTGCGGAGGCAAAGGAGGAGTGGTCGCAGGGGAGAGCAGCACGCACCATCACAGTAGGAACCTTCTCAGCAGGCACCATCTCAGCAACGACCATCCCAGCAGCCAGTGACACAACCACCATCATCGTTGCAGGGATGATCTCAACTACCACACGCTCGGCAGTATCCATTTCAACAGCTACCATCTCAGCGTACACCGTCAATCCACAGAAGAGTACATCAGCATTCACGTCAGCAACAATCAACCCAGCAGCCAGCATTTCAGCAGCAGCCATCTCAGCAGCTTCCATCGCAGCCGCCCCAAAGGGACCATGGGTTGCCCCCCATGCCAACTGCAGATCACACGTGTCACCGGCCTAGAGACATGCAGCCTCAATCGGTGGCTGCTGACAACATGCATCCACTTGATCGTGTGACAGCAACCACATCCGCGCACCCTTCTTTGGCAGGCGAGAATGAGAGAGACAATGCTACAACCATCTCAGACAGTGAGGCGGAGGCAGATACCACAGATGAAGTATTCAAGGAGCACTTTGACGTGGAGGATGGGAGTCAAATCAGCTGCGGGGAGGATTCGGAGCCTGATGGGGATGAGGAGCGTACAGACATGGGCCATGGCTGCCAATCCAACAATACTACAACTCAACCGCCATCCACCACAACAGCGCAACAAGCGGCCATGAGACGCCAACGGAGGATGGAGATTATAAGGGGAAGGCGGAGTGCAAGAGAGGCAGGTGCAAGAAGGCGGGAACGCGCCGGATCACCAGTAGCACACCTGCCTACGCAAGGGAGCCAAAGTGCGCGTCAGCCACTGCCGCAGCAGGATGTTCCGACAAACATGGGTCGGGCCAACGAAGCCGCAGCGGCAACGGACGTTAACCACGGTGTAGATACGTGATTGGGGGGGGTCGGGCAATACTGATGCTGAGCGCGTGGACAGTGACACAATGGAGGATGGGGCGGGCATTATTGTTCGCACGGGCCAGGATGGACCGAGATACAAGAGGAAAAAAAAGATCACAGTATTCATCAAGCAATGGGCACGGTGTTATGCCCCCACATGTTGGTTTGGCATTTACAGCAGCCAGATGGTGGAGTCGATCAACAATGCTCTTAAGAAGATCCGCATCTTGCCGGTATCTTATGTGGTGGCGGGCATGTGGGATTGGATGGCTAAAATATACTCGGATGGGCAGAAAAAGTCATCCAACTGGCAGCATGCATTGACGGTCGAAGCTGAGAAGCGGTTTGAGCTGAAAAAGAACCGAAGCCGTGGTTACAGGGTGATACGCAATGGGCCGAGCAAGGCAAGAGTTCGGAACAAGGGGAGCACTTTGGACCGACGTCCCCTCTCCTTCAACAATGATGTGGGAGAGAGATTGTGCGAGTGCAAGAACTGGCAAGAATATCGGTTTCCTTGTTCTCATGCGTTTGCACACTTACGGGATAGGCAAATGGATGTTATCCCCTTGATCACCAGGTACTGGAAGACGGAGAACTGGAGAAGGACGTACTCGGCACTCATTCCGTATTCGTGTATAGACACGGTCATCGCGGAGACCAAGCCCGTTGAGGAGGGAGTTTGTGACCCCCCGGTCTTTGTGCAGAGAGGATCAGGGCGGCCACAATCCAACCGAAGGCGTGAAGCGCCAAAACGGACATACAAATGTGGCGACTGTGGGTCTACTCAGCATACCAGGAAGAAGTGTAAGGGAAAATATGGGGGGTCAGAGGTGTATCGTGTAGCAAATTAATGGTATGGGGTACGATAATTTGCTGAGTGTTGAATAATAGGGACTGTCGGAGGCTGCTTTTTTTTGCTTCTATATGAATATAGGAGACTGTCAAGAACATTGATTAATGATCCCACTTATGACCGGTCATATAATCATACGTTCCCGACCAATGATATACTCTCGAACAATTGACCAGCCCTATAGCATTCCGCACTTGACCAGTAATACACACACGCACATATGATTGCGCATATGCTCCCTCGTATATGACCGGTCATATACACAAGAGCACGCGACTGGTCGAAACACAACGCGCATATCACCGGTCCACGAGGCAAATCTGGGGTTCGATGTTATCGCGCACGCATACCGTTACGTGCGAGAGACGGATACAGTAAAGTGGTTTCGGTAAATGCTATCTATACAATAAAATTAGGGTTGTAAATGTCAACACTATCTCACGTCAGTTGTGATGCACCGTAGGTTGATATTGAAATATGTATTCACGCTTATGGTGTCATGCAGTAGGCTGGAGAGCAGTGTCGGCACAACATTAATACTTTCTAATCGGGTATGCATGGAATATGACTTTCCGTCATCAATGTGTGCACATGGCACAAATAGATATAACATTGCGTCAGCGAGTTTCTCCACCATGGCACTGGGGGATTTATGTATGACGTTCTCAAAGTCACAATTGAGTGTAATACCAATGCAACAGTTACGGACGGGTATCACAAACATGGTATGAAGCAATCATGGTAATAATCAGCGGTAGCATAGTTACCACCAGGGCCTCAGATTCCAGGAATTTTACCCTGATTTCCTGATGTTTGACCCCGGTTTTTTATTGTAACCCTGATGAATCAGCCTTTTGTTTTTACAACCCTGATGAATCAGTGTTTTTCTTTTCCTAATCCTGATTTTCCAGTGTTTCTAGTTTGTCGACACTGACGAGTCGGTGTTGTATCGGAGACGACCCTGAAACCGAAAACTCCGTGATTCTCGCAGTTTTGCGCGCCGTCATCATGCATGAACCCACCCTGCACCGACGCCACCCTGCGGCGCGCCCAGATACAGTTGAACGGGTTAATTTCGGGTTGTGGCAAAACGGCGTAAAGAGATTGGCTGTCCCAGCTGAAGCAATGTACCGTTGTCACGTTGGATAACCTACACTTCTCATTACTTTCCATTGATGTGCACAAACAACCAAGCCTAGTGGCCCAGTGGGCCAGTGGTCTGCCTTGTTCTTTCCACCAAGGCAGGGCGTGCTGGGGCGGCCCGCTCAGGCACCCCACGCAGGGGGTCTCGTGATTCTGCCATTCCAGCTCTCCAGACTCCATCCCTTTCCGAAACATCAATCTCTGCAGTCTCCCTGAAGCCTGCTCGGCAGGCTCTCTCTCTCCCAGGGTTTCTCGTTACTACTCACCGATTCAGGAAGGTGACGTGAACGCGCCATGGCGATCACCGGTGAGAACAGCTGCGGTGATGATGACGACGATGCACTTTACGCCGCCACCGAGATGCTGGAGGCCAGAACGGGACTAGATTTTCTAGTTTCCGTGCTCTCCCATGAAAAAGAGAAGCCAGGTCCCGTCGCCTCAGTAGCAAACACTGGTGAAGCGTCTGGCCTCTGCCGCGGAGACGATCGTCCCCAGCCCGCGCATACTGCTAAGCCGGCCGTGCCGTCAGCAGCCGGACCGAGCGTCCGCTTGCCATCTCGTGCGTCGTCGTCGAAGCCTTCGCCTCGTTACAAGCAGGCCGTGCTCCGTTGGGCCGATCCTACAGATCCTGGACGTCCTCTCGCTGATGCCGGCGAGTCGGTAAACCACGTTACGCCCACGCCATTTAACTCTAGAAAACCGTCACTAACCACTCTGATTTACGAAGAGGCCCTTGAAACGTTCAAGTCGACGTGGTCGACCGACTATCCATGGCTCATCCTCATAAAAAACACTGCTGGCATGCCTGCATTCAAGTGCAGATTGTGCATCGACTTTGCAGGTGACGGTGGCAAGTGTGGCAAGAGTGGGCTGGGCACGGTGCAACCGATCTTCAGACCCAAGCCTTCAAGCGGCATGCCGCGACGAACAAGCACCAGTTGGCCATCAATCACCAGAAGCAGATGCTAGCTCAGGCTGGGATGCGCGGCTGTCGGACCTCATGCGCATGGCATTGCTGCCGTACGAGCCCGACTGGGCGGAGGTGGTGAAGATCTGGAGGGCGTACAAGAAGCGCAAGCCCATCACAACAGTGGCAGCACCAAAGAAGCAACCTAGTGCTAAGGTGAAAGAGAAGGTGGACGAGGATGCTGCTGGTGGTGCTGGCTCTGGGTGGGGGACAGAGACCCCCGTGCACAGGCACGGTTCTATGAGCGATGGTGGTGGTAGTGACGAAGATGAAGACATGTGTGTGATGTGAATTGTGTGTGCGGTGTGAGCGCCGAGTGGTCTGTGCCTGTAGTTAGATTAGAAGCTCATTAGAACCATATTTGAACTTTTCTTAACTTATTATACTTGTGATACCGGTATTTGTTGTGGATTCTCACCGCCAGTGTTTTTTTAAAACTCACGCTGATGTGTCAGGGTTTTTTTTTTTTCTAACCCTGAGAAATCAGTGTTTCTCCATTTACAACCCTGATGATCAGTGTTACAGCCCCAAAGGACCCTGAGTGCTCAGGGTCACCCAAAACGAATCTGAGGCCCTGGTTACCACCTTGCAAGGGCTGCAATAAAGGATTGCTCGGTAGTATTGTAATTCAGCCATGTTATGTAACCAATGCCACCGGATCGTCTCGCTGGAGTAATCAGTACCCTTTGTTTCCATGTGTTGTGACTGCAAATAAGAGGGTTTGGTTCCCCAAGCATTTTTGCCGAGGGCCCATTGCATAGAATGGCGTAATCAAAAGGGTTCTAATGCAGGGTACAATATAGCATACAACGCCGTGTGTCTGGGCACTTGTCGTTTTTTATAGTTTATTTATTGTTTTTTTTCTCATAGGTGGGCCACCATTGATACATTTCATGGATTGCCCTAGCCGCTAGACACAACCTTGTTAGGTAGCTGACCAAGTATTATAACACGGTGATTTATAACGTCAAAAGGATATCAATATATAATTTTTGTGCAAAAAATGAATTTTGTTGAATTGAATCAGGCGGCCACATTGCGCAAAACATAAACGAACGTACATCGAAAAATCACCGGGCATAACACTGCAAATTGGTTGAACGAAATGCACGTATGCATTCCCTGTTTTTATTTCTCTTTGATAAGTTTTCTAGCAGTTGAAAAACAAGTTACAACGTTGCCGTTATCTAAAATGAACACGCAATTCGTAAAAACGCGTACATCAACAGTTTGACCTGCAAATTCAACGTGCATTTTACCGGTCTTATACGACGTGCCAAAGTGGATATGGCCGGTCAATTCCGCCGGTCATATCAGACGCGGACATACCTGTTCAATTTGCGCGACGATATTGTCAGAGGTCAACTGGTGATCCCCGATTGATCCTAGGGAAGGGTTACAGGCATGTTGGCCTGGGGGGTTATGGGCGCACTGACCCGCTACTTAACAAGCCCTTTTATCCCAGTGGTCTAGTGACTGGGATTCTGATATGGTATCAGAGCGAAGGTCTCGGGTTCGAATCCCAGTGTGTGCACTTCGGGCATCCCAGTGCGGGGGTGTGTCAGAGGTCCACTGGTGATCCCCGATTGATCCTAGGGAAGGGTTACAAGCATGTTGGCCTGGGGGGTTATGGGCGCACTGACCCGCTACTTAACAAGCCGTTTTATCCCAGTGGTCTAGTGACTGGGATTCTGACAGATATGACCGGTCAATTCCAGCATGCATTTGATTGGTTGGCGCGCTTGATTGAATCATATGCATAGCTCGGCGATTTGACCGGTGGGATTGCGCCTGGATTAGCCGGGCCAATTTCGAAGCCCTTGATTGGTCGGTGCATATAACCGATCATATGGACTCGTGTCCATCTGACAGGGTCATTTTGACCGTTGATTTTTTTCCTTGCGTTTGATTGGTTCGCGCATTTGAGCGTCATATGCGTTGCTCGTCTTCCATCTCGCGCATAGGGTTAATTCATGCGCAGTTCAACGAGGATGTTTTTCGAAAGTCCGGCCAACGGTCTCAGCGCAACCATAACTATTCGTGACTGAGTACAATGTGCGAAACTGCAAAGGCACACGTAACATCGGCCGTCGGCAAACGAAAAAACATAACCGTGTAATCGTGCGAGAGGTTTGGAGTTGAACCCAAACCGTTGCACCTTTTAGACCACGTCATGTGGCAGACATATTACCCAAAACTCAAGACAGTAGCCACGACGTAACAAATATACTCAGGAAGAATGATTTTTTGGATTTTTTTGTGTAGGTTTTATAAGCTTCCTAAGTGTCAGAATGTTATTCTCTAGCCTGTAGTGGGGTGCTCTATAGCGAGTACAACCCATCTAGGGTTTGCTATATGTATCCTCATTGCTGCTAGTGAAAACCCTCCTCTTTTGCCTAAACTTCTCTTGCCTAGCTAGGACTTACCTAGCTCTGGCTCCTAACTCTGCCTACTATCTTCACATGGAATCAGAGCACATACGCTCCTGGCCTGTAGGCCCTCCTACTGCTTCCGCTGCCCTACGCTGTGTCGCGCGCCCCGTGGTGCGCGGCCTCTTATTTTTCATCCCGCCGCGCGCTCGGGGCGCGCGGCGGTTTTCTGCCTGCCGTGCGCCCCGAGGCGCGCGGCGGTTTACTGCTGTGGGGGAGCCAGCGCGCGCCCCGCCCGTCCGTCGCGGAGCCCTGGGGAGCACGCGCGGCCCCCCACCCTGCCCGTCGCGGCGCGCTGGGGAGCCCGTGAGCCCCCCGTCCGTCCGTTGCGACGCCCTCGGGAGCCCGCGAGCGCCCCGCCCGTCAGTCGCGACGCACTGGGGAGCCAGCGGGCGCCCTGCGTGGTCGTCGCGACGCCCTGGGGAGGCCGCGCGCGCCCCGTCAGCTCGTCGCGGCGCCCTCGGAGGCCGCGCGCGCCCCGCCAGGCCATCGCGGCGCCCTGGGGAGCCGCGCGCGCGTCCCCCCCGCCCGTCCGTCGCGGCGCCCAGGGGAGCAGCGCGCGCCACGCCCCTTCCCTCGCCCCACCCGTCCGTTCTGGCGCCCTAGAGGCGCGCGCCTTCCCCCCCCTCTCCGTCCCCCGCGCTCCTGCCCCTATCCCACCCGTTTTAGGGTTTGGGGGTGAGGAGTGTGGGGGTGGTGGTTGTGGGGGTGTCCGTTGTGCGCGCCGTGCCCTTCTCCTCCTCCTCCTTTGTCTCCCATTGCTGCAGCTGTCGCTGAGGGGGGTGGATGAGTGGGAGACTGGGGTTTAGGGTTTTAGGGGGGTGCGTGGGAGTGGAGCTAGGGTTTGAGCAGTGGGTGTGTGTCGAGGGTGTGGGGCAGTTGGAGGAGGTTGTGTGGAGGTACCTGTCGTGTCGCCTGCAGCGCCTGTAGTCCGTCGCCCTTGCTTCGGTAGCCAGTGAGCCTGCTGCACCAGTCGCCAGTGGGTCCGTTGCTCCTGCCGCTCTTCTATAGCCGCCGAGCCAGTTACTCCAGTAGTCCGTCGCCCTTGCTTCGGTAGCCTCTGAGTCAGCCGCTCCTGTGCCCGTGCCTCTGCAGCTTCAGTCGTTGCCTCCCATCTTCTCTACCTCCACAGCTCCTCCTCCTCCTCACTTGCCCGCTGTGATTAGCTCTAGCTTTGCTTACCTTTGTGAGCTCCTGCTCTATACCTGCTTGCTCATTGTACTGATTACACCCCACTTTGGCTATGGGGGTGTGTCAGAATGTTATTCTCTAGCCTGTAGTGGGGTGCTCTATAGCGAGTACAACCCATCTAGGGTTTGCTATATGTATCCTCATTGCTGCTAGTGAAAACCCTCCTCTTTTGCCTAAACTTCTCTTGCCTAGCTAGGACTTACCTAGCTCTGGCTCCTAACTCTGCCTACTATCTTCACACTAAGCATCATCAAATATGCGCGCACATAAAGGTTATTGCGCGGTCTTATATAATATATGACTGCGCCTTTGTTTGGACGTTCTTTGATTGGACGCGCAATGTCTGGTCATATCCTGCGAACAAGACAAACCAATCACGTGCGGTCATCTGATTTCTCGCGAAGCGACGGCCGATCATTTCAGTATATGATCGGGAACTATACGATGACACCTGATTGGACGCGCATATCTCCTGACCAATCGAGCGCGGTCGTTTTTGCAGTGTCGGTTTGTGTCGGGTCAAATGCAGTATACACATGATGCCCGCTTGAGCCACTCCCGGTTGCCTTGTGAAGGAGGCGCATAAGCTGTCACGTGCATTTCGCATAAGTTTCGTCAACTCGCAGCTAGCAAAAAAGGATTCGTCAGTTGCTTATAAACATTCTGTAACTGGTCCGTTGACATTTTGACTTCAGTCTCTTCATTTTGACTTCGGTCCGTTCGTTCCTATTGGTTCACGTGCTTGTAACGTGCGTGCAACTGGCTGGGGATAAAACCTCGGGTGCAGGGTTTCCATCCGGTGCAGGGCAAATTCGCGTGCACGGGTTGGGCATCATGTGTATGATCGCGAAGTCATATGCTCGTTCGCTGATTGGATGTGAATTATATTGACCGCGCGCTCATTGGTCGAGCATTTAGCCGAAACTGACCGGTCAATGTACTGTTGGTCAATGTACAGTGAGCGGGCCACTTTCGCGTCCGTGAGCCTGGCGAAATTTTCGGGTGCAAAACAGAACGGAACACTACCTAAGGATACCACTCGCATGAATGGGGAATTTCGGGGCTACAAAGACCCGTAGGGTAATGCGCCGAAGAAAAAAAAGCCAGGAAGAATCCCCTGGTGTGGCCACTCGAGTCATTATCACCAAATTTGGTGGCCACTTGAGTAATTCGTGGCCACGCGAGGGATGGTGAATCACCTTATTGGCCACTGGAGTCATTCTCTCGAAATGGCGGGATTGTGATGTGAGGCCATCGGACAGCACAGCAGCATTGGACACGACGGAGCAATGGCGCAAACTGCAGAGGGGAGGAGGGGCAACAGGCGAGAGATCAGAAATGCAGAATCAACATAGCAGCCACAATATATTACATTTCGAGAATTTATTATCGTATTCCAAGCGAGCGCTCTTGCTTTCGTACCCCTTTTTATCTAGGTTACCTTAAACCTGAGGTAGTGTGATGGCGTGTTGCCGCATGAACGTCCTTCCCGACGAGCTTCTCATTGCCTGTTGAGCTGGCATTGACCCTGCAGAAGATGGTCGTCGCCTTCTGCACGGGAGCGAAATTCCGCCGAAGCGAATGCTGCAGAGGATTACGCGGAACTTTGCAGCAGAGGGAATTCGGAGAAGCAGAAGGTTCTGCTGCAGAAGAGTGCGCATCTGCAGAAGA